TCAGACCTAGCACAATACCTGCCACAAAGTAGACCTCTAATTAATATTGTTGAATGATTAATCCTTCTGAACCTCAGCCCTGGGTGTCTGGGGCAGTGGATGGGAATAGGCATCGATGATTGAGTCCAGCCCCAAAAGAGCTCTTGAATCTGATTTTGATTTCTCCGGGTTTGTCTTTTTCTTCTACAAGTGAAGGGAAGCCAAAGCAAAGCAAACTGATGATTTGTTCTGGTAATGGGAAATCAAGATGGAGGGCCAAAGGGCCAAAAGTCACATGATTCCATGTAGCTCTCGGGGGATAACCAAAGAGCTTAGCTTCCTGAGGCTTCAGGGGAGCATTTTATTTGTATTCACAATAAATAGTCATGGAAGCAGCAGCCAAGAAATTAAACGACATATCGCATTGGGCAAATCTGCTGCAAAACACCTCTTTAAAGTGTTAAAGAGCAAAGAAACTAAGGTGCACCTGACCCAAGCCATGGTATTTTCAATCATTTCATATGGATGTGAGAGCTGGACAATGAATAAGCAAGACTTAAGAAGAAGAGTTAATGGCTTTGAATTGTGGTGTTGGTGAAGAATACTGAAAATATCATGGACTGCCAGAAGAATGAGCAAATCTGTCCTGGAAGAAGTGCAGCCAGAATGCTCCTTGGAAGCAAGAATGGCCAGACTTCGTCTCACCTACTTTGGTCATGTTATCGGAAAGGACCAGTCTTTGGAGAAGGATATCATGCTCGGTAAAGCAGAGGGTCAGCAAAAAATGGGAAGACCCTCAATGAGGTGGATTGACACAGTGGCTGTGACGATGGGCTCATGCATGGCAATTATTGTGAGGAAGGTGCAGGACCAGGCCGTTTTGTGTTCTGTTGCACATAGGGTTGCTATGGGTTGGAACTGCCTTGATGGCACCTAACAACAACAACAACAACAACCCATTTTCAAGAAACTGACTATTGGTTTTTCCTTCATTCTCAAACCCTCAGCTCTTCCTTGAACAGTACTTCTCATCCCCTCCCTGCAGAGAACTTCTTCCCTGGGAGTAAAAATGAGGCCCTTGTTAGTGTTCTACTGACACTAGCCACAAATGTAGCAAGATGTTGCTGAAAGAACACTACCGTTAGGGAACCTATGGATATTCCTGCCCTGCCATTAACATGCTATAAGTCTATGTAATTCTCTAGGCCTCCATTTTGCTATCTGTTAAATGGGAATGATATCAGCTCCACCAAATTCCATACCATTCCTGAGACCAAAATGGGGTGAAAGTTCTTCTTTACTTAAAATACAATTCAAATGTAAGCTACTATTATCTACACTGTTCAATCTGTTGCCAGGTGAGTGAATTCTTCTACCCATTATTCAATAGCTATTAGTTCACTGTCTGAGGAATTCTATCCATCCTTTGAGGCCAAGTTAAAGTGTCTACTCTAGTGCGAAACCTTAGAGTTACTGGTTATTTAGCAGTTGACCTTATACAAGTCACATTGTGTACTTTATTTCGTGTAATCCTTATAGCAAGGAGTCCTGGTGGCACAGGGGTTAAGTGCTCACCGGCTAACTGAAAGATCATGGGTTCAAACCCACCAGCTGTTGTACAGGAGAAAGATGGGGCAGTCTGTTTCCTTAAAGATTACAATCTTGGAAACTCTACGGGGCAGTTTTACTCTGTCCTATTGACTGCTAACCAGAAGGCTGGTGGTTCAAACCCACCAGCCACTCCTCAGAAGGTGGGCAATCTACTTCCCTAGTGATACCACCTCAGAAACCCAAGGAGAGGTCAGTATGAGTCAGATCTGACTCAACAGCAGTGAGTTTGGCTTGGTTTTTGATAGGGTCTCTATAAGGAGCTCTGGTGGAGTAGTGCCTAAGGCATCTGACTGCTAACCAAAAGGTTGATGGTTCAAACACACCAGCTACTCCACAGAAGGAAGATGGGACAATCTACTTCCATAAAGATTTACCACCTTGGATACCTAATGGGAGTTGCTATGAGTAGGAATTGACTCAATGGCAGTGTTTTTTTTTTTTTTTTCTTAAATAGAGTCTCTATAAGGAGCCCTCCTGGTGCAGTGAGTAAGACATTTGGCTGCTAACCAAAAGATTGGTGGTTTGAACCTACCAGCTTCTCCACAGAAGAAAGATGAGGAAATCTGCTTCCATGAGGATTTACAGCCTTGGAAACCCTATGGGGGTCGCTATGAGTCAGAATCAACTCGATGGCAGTGAGTTTGTTGAAGGAGCTCTGGTAGCCTAGTGCCTAAGGCACTTGACTGCTAACCGGAAGGCTGGCGGTTCAAATCCACCAGCCACTCCTAGGAAGGAAGGTTGAGCAATCTACTTCTGTAGTGATACTGCCTAGGAAACCCAAGGAGGGGTCGCTATGAGTTGGGTCTGACTCAACAGCACATAACAACAACAACAACATGAGTCAGAGGCAATTCAGTGACAGTGAGTTTTGGTTTTGGAATCCTCATAGCAATGCTGTGAGATAAGTACTATTATGATTCCAGTGTTACAGATGGGGAAACTGAAGCACAGAGAGATTAAGGGACTGGGCCAACGTCATGTAATTTATAAGTAGCTAAACTAGCAATCTAATCCAGAATGAGTTATTCCCTGGTCCTTATAGCATTTTGTTTATACCTTGCCAGTGGTCCTTATTGCACAGTTTATATCACCCTCATTAGACTGTGAGCTCCCAGAAGGGAGGGACCATGTCTTCTTGCTCGTCTCTATTTCTCCAGAGCTTTACAATGCTTGACACATGTTATTGTTGGTAGTTGCTGTTGAGTTGATTCCTACTCATGGTGACACCATGGACATAGAAATGCTCAATGAATGTTAGAAAAATGAATGGGCTTCAGTGGAATAGAATGGAATAAAAGAGAACTGGATGAAGTAACTGGCTGGCCTGGGATTCCCTTGTCTTCCCAGCCCACCTATTCTGGCCACTGCCATCAGAGAGTTATTTGAGAGTGTCAGGAACAGTGAATGTCTTTGCTTCCTGTCTTAGAGAAAAGACTTATTGGAGTGCAGGAGTCATTGAGTGAATACCTATGGAAGATGATTAACTGTTGGATAAAAGGACTTATTTTCCATGTAAGAAGCTGCCTTTGAATTTCTTTCAATCTCCACAAGTGGGTCAGGGTGTCATAAGCATGGACTATTTATGGAATTCCTCCTTTAAAAAAAAAAAAAAAAAAGCAAAGCTGTGGAACATATTAGGGGAGAAGAGAAGGTAAGAAAGACCAGGGAAATGCTCTTGTTGTGAAACAGGACAAATAATGATAGGTTTTTTGGGTTTTTTTCCAGCTCAAATCAGGCTAGACTTAGTCCAAAGTGAAGTGTTTTTCAATAGAGTAATAATAATAATCACTAGAATAACAACTGATACTGAGTACTTATAGTGTGCCAGGCACTATGTAAAGTTATTTGAGTGTATCATCCTGTTTAATCCTCACAAAAACCCAATAAGGTAGCCTCTCTAAACAGGTTTAGAGAGGTTAATCATTTTGTTCAATATTGCATAGCCATCAGTGGAAGAGCTGAGGTTGGAACCGAGGCAAATCTGATAACTAGGTTTTAATCACTATACTTTATGGCAACACATTTTAATTGATTTGAGATATGACCACATGGGAGACATTCAGGAACATGGATTTATATTTTAGAAACATTTTCAATGAGAGGTGGCAAAAGTGTGGAATATGCTTTCATTGCCTCAGAAATGTACCTAAGAGTAGAATTCCTTGGTCTGAAATAGATGTCCCTGTGAGCCAAGGTAAGACTGCAGGTGGAAGCCCAGACCATTAGTGAGGTGAAAAAGAAACATAACTACATCACTAAACATGTGTTAAGATTTATTGGCCCGTTCTCACCACTTTTTACTTCTTCCATTTTCATCCGTATCACCAGCCATCAGTTAGTGATCATTTTCAGCCGAGATTGGCAGACTCAGTCCACTAATGGCACAGATGAGAGGGCACCGTGATCTACTGCACTGAGCCATCATCCCAGCCACTTAGGGAAATTCTTTTTCAGGGTTTACACTGCCATTTCTGTTCACCTTTAATGAATGCTTTCTGTCCATAAATGAAGCAGAGATGGAAGAAGAAGTGAATAAGTGCTAACATAAATCGCAGTGGGTCAGCCACAAATACAGGCTTTCAAAAAAAGTTCTTTTTCTCCTTTCCCCCTCCCCGCCCCCCTTTTTTTTCCCAGTCTGGGTTAAGTTGCTTGCTGATTTCTAAAGTACTTCCCGGGTTTGATTAGTGTGCTCAATGCATAAAAAATTGCTCTTGCAAACCTTATTTTGTAATCCACACATCAGAGTGAAAAGACTCTTTTCAAAAAAGATAAAGGTTATAATATAACACGTGCTTTTCACCATTTGTTGTTGTTGTTGTTGTTATGTGCCGTCGAGTCGGCCCCGACTCATAGCGACCCCTCCTTGGGTTTCCGAGGCAGTATCACTACGGAAGTAGGATTGCCCAACCTTCCTTCCGAGGAGTGTCTGGTGGGTTTGAACCGCCAGCCGTCTGGTTAGCAGGCAAATGTGTTAGCCACTATGCTACCAGAGCTCATATACCTCTTATTGACTCACCAGTCACATGCTAGGTAATGGATATTGAAATTGAGATAGGCAGGATCTGAAGAGCTATGGTTGATCTTTCCTTTTAGTTTTGGGGCACCTGAGTATCTTTTTAGATATGATTCATATCTACAATGAATAACTGGCAAATGGTTAGGGAAAATACTATTATTGTAGGTGCTGTATTTGTGTACCTAACAGCTACATGCAGCTTTAGCATCTCTAAACGAAAAACAAACCCGTGGCTGTCAAGTCAATTCTGACTCATAGTGACCCTATAAGGCAGAGTAAACTGCCAGCATCTCCACCCCCGTTGTTTTCCATTATTGTACACCAGGAACGGGAATGCTTATGTGGTCAGATGTACTGTTTTCCCACATGCTATGTGTGCCATATTGCTTTGCAGCTCGGCTTTGGATCATTCCTTGGAATCATCGGATCAAACCTTGTTGAGAACAAACGACAGATGGTAAGTTTCATCACCATAGAATCACTCTGCATTTGAAAAGCTCAATATTTGTATGAATAAGTAACACATTTCTTAATTGAGCCACAAAAGAAACTATTACTTTACCTTTTCTCTGAAGCCTCCATGGAACTTGTTTTAGAGTGACCCTGTAGGATGGGGCTTGTTCTTGTTTTGCCTAATGCTTCCTCACTGGCTTAGCTAGTCTCCTTAAGCCACAGGGACAGAATGTTCTAGGTCTTGCCCCTTGTTTTCCTCCTTACTCCCAAAGGAGTGCTCCAGTCCTTTGGTCAGGCTATATCGTCTTTGCCTAGAAGGCCTTTGCTCCTTCAGTTTCTTTCCCTGGATTACTGATGACCCTTACATCTTCCTCTCCTGATGCAGAATCTTTCAGGGAAGTGTTTGCAGATGATTCCTGCCTTTTAGGAGATTGCAGTCTAGAGGACTTGGATCAAGAGAACAGATGTTCTAGGGGTGCTCAGAAGACAAAATAAAAGGATGAAACAAACCTCGAGTATTTCAGTTACTCGTAGTTCAAAGCTCATTATGTTGTAAGGTTGAAAGGAAGGATGAACACATAACAGGATTTCCATGACCCGATGGGGCTCCACAAGGGCAAGCTGTTGTATTTTTCTGGCTCAGTCTGAGACATCCTGGAGGCCAAGGGAAGAAGGTGCAGACCAAACTACAAGCATTTTGCAGTTTTATAGGTTTGTAAATCAAGATGCCTGGTGAGTGGTCAGATGGTGGGCTGATTAGGCTTCTTCCCTTGTACAAGTCTCTGTGGTATCACGACTTTGATAATGGGGTCTATTTAACAACAAGTTTAATCAGATAATGTAATAGCTCCAGGGACAGAGCACTCTAACCATATGTTCTCCCCCAGCAATGTGGGGGATCACCCTCAGGGGAGTTCTAACAGTTTTCTTCTTCCATTTCACCTGGACTACCCTCATGACAGTTATGTTTGCACTTTGGGCTTAAATTATTCAAAATAATGGGGGTGTTTTAATTGTAGAGCTGATCATAGCATAGCTAATAATGTCAATTTCATGAAATCATTCATCCATTATTTACCAATTCTCTGCAGTGCTGTGAAGTGAGATTTATCAGAAGAGGTTTCTGTATAACTCTCAAAGGGGAAAAGCATTTCCTCCTATCCTGTTGAGGTGGGAGGATACTGGGGTGGCGATGACTTTGATTTCCTCCTTCTCCACGGAGAGCACCTTAATGACATATTACCTGCCCTCCTCGTCTGCCCCAGTTCTTCCCCCAAACACCTCAAGGAAGAAAAGCTATGATTCTATCTCATTTTCAGGGTCAACATAGGCAGATGGCGAGCTCAGGAAGCACCTACCCCCGCCAATTGAAACACTCACACACACACCCTCACACACATTGGTTTGTAGTATCACCTTTGTATATGGAAAATTAGGAAAGTTTCTGTTATCTAACATGATGAGAAAATAGGGCAGTCTGAATCAAGCAAACATTTTTCTTACTTCAAAGTTTCCATATATACCACACAGAGTTGATCAATTTCAGACAACTCAACCCTTGTAAAAATGTCCTTGATATTTTAAGTCTTAATAAGTTGAATGGCCATTTTCCTCAGTGATTCAGAAGGCCATGTAGAGTTGTGCAGCGCCCCAGAATCATCCTTGTCTTTACCAGGGCCCACTATACCATCAAGTAGCAGCATGAGGTGCTGGGAAGAACACTGGAGTAGGAGTTGGTGGGCACCAGGCTTTTCCACTCTACCTCTCTGTGCCTCTGTTTTCACACAAATAAAATAGGGGGTTGAACTCCATGATGTCAGAGGTCCAACATTTTTCTGAGTCTGAGGATGGAAGAGCCATGCCATCAGGTAGCTCTTCCATGGACAGCATATTTGATGCCACCAAGTCTCCTCTGCATTTGGTGCTCACAGAGTGAACTTCTTAGCTTACCCTGAAAATGTAAAAAGTGCTTCATTGACCCCTTCTCTGCCTCCTACACCCTTCCCACTCATCCTGTCTGGCTGGGAAGAGCATCGCCATAGGGTAGCAGGCCAGACCCATTTGGCTGGCAGTTTTTTGGGGATTGCCCCCTGTCTCCTGAAGCAACAATGGAAGGCTAACAGATACTTTTTGTTTTGTTCCCTCGCAGCTGGTGGCTTCTATCGTCTTTATCAGCTTTGGTGTGATTGCAGCTTTTTGTTGTGCCATAGTTGATGGGGTCTTTGCTGCCAGACACATTGTGAGTATTTTCAGCCCTGGATTCAAGAAAATGTGCTATAAAGCAAGGTTGCCTTGAGTGTGTACTGGACATTCAACATTGTGCTAAGTGCTGTGACGGTACAGAAAAGGAGAAGATAGGATCGCTGCCTCAAGGAGTTACTGTTAGATGAGGACACTTAAGGACACACAGGCATCTAGGGAACTGGGTCTAAGCTAACGGGGTGCATGGACTCTAAGAGCCATAGTGGTTTATGGTGGATTTGTGAAGTCAGGGAAGGCTTCTTAGTGTAAGTGGGGATGGAGCTAGGCCTTTGAAGTGTGAGTCATATTTAGAAAGGCAAAGATAAGGGCATTAGGGCCAGTGGAATGGCTTGGAATTCAGAACCGATATGCTGTGTTAGGGACCAGGGGAAAGGAGAGCAGCAGGAAGCCACATGACTTCCTGAGAACCTTGAAGGTTTCAATGGCTAACCTCCTATTCAACAGTAACAAGAGCATACCATGAGGACAAGAGTCAATTTTTCTCAGACACCTAAACTTTGCTGTCCCTACAACAGTGATTGGAGAGAAGTGATGTAGTTAGGGGTCCAAGGAAGGTCCTAGAGCTAGAAGAGCCTCCACACTCAGAGCTCAGTCCTGGGCTTCACGTACCAACTGCCTCATAAGAGCCATTTTACTCCTGAAGCTCAAACCTGTGCTAAGGGCCTTCTGAATTGGCTCTAGGGGCATTCCGATTTGGCTCTCTATAGGAGCCCTCGGTCTTCTTCCAGCACATTTCATTTCATACTATTCCAGACATCTGGCCTAGGGCCAACTTCTCCATTAGACGTAGTAGACACAGTGCTTTGGACCTATAATACTTTTAGAGGCCCATGGAGATGTTATCATTTCTTTTCAAACCAGAAGAAAAACAATAAACTTTTAGGTTGAAAAAAATTTTAACATGTAAATATATTCATGTTTATATCAATGCAATTATAAAATATAATTTTAAAATTTTATGAAGGAAAGGGCCCACAAAGGCAGGAGTGGCTAGGGCCCAGCAAAGTCATAACACAGTCCTAATCTGGCCCCACAAACCAAAATGAAGAGTGAGCTGCAGCAACTTGCTAAGCCCCTACCACAAACCCAAATACTCATTAAAAATAAACAAAAGCAGAACCAACATTGAAAATTAAAATATCCAATGAATGAGTTGGAAATTATATGTTTTCTTCAATAACTGAATTGCAGCAAAAGTGTATTATCAGAATATTCTCTGGTTCCAACATTGTTTTATTCCATTTCAGTTTTAGCTAATTGTTAAGGTTACCCTGAAGGATTGGCATGAGTCTGGTTGGATCTGGGGAAGGATGATTTGAGACATTATTGTTTCAATTTCAACTCTCCTGTTCTTGGACCCTTCTCCAAACATGTTGACAGAGGTAGAAAACTCTGTCCTTCATTTGCATCATGCTAAGATGAACCCACATGGGTGATGCTGTCACCCAAGCAGTCTCTGAAGTGGCATAGCAGGAGATCATTTCTGGGGAGAGGGCAAAACAAGGAGCTGAGAAGACAAACTCTTTGCCTGATATTATTTCAAGGCCAGGATTATCAATGTAGTCCTCTATATCAGACTCATCCCTTCTGACTTTAACCAAGTGCAGCATCTCTTCATTTGCCTTCTTAAAAAGGCAAATAACACATCAAAAAGTTTTAACATCCATAATCCCACCACCTTAACATAGCAATTCTTCTCATGTTTGCATATTACCCTCTCAGTCTACACCTATTTTTGCAGCATAGTTGTAGTCAATCATAATATCCATGTTATTTTATATTCAACAGGAGCCATCTTAAGAATAATTCCTTGTTTTTGTGCAGTGTACTTAGCTTTTCAATGTGCCTTCACGTCTATTATCTTATTTGAGACCCACAGAAACCCTGTTAGATATGTAGGGCAGGCATTATTATCCCCATCTGACAAGCAGTATTTACTCGGATGCAGTCTCCATGGCAACATGGGTCTAGTGGCCTAGCAGCCTGAAGTAGATTTTGGTGGCATCCTGAGCTAAAATGTCTTCCTCCTTTTTCCTCTTCCTCCAATTGAGTCCTTTTTTTTTTTTTTAAACAGCTTTATTGAATTCACTCACCGTACAATTCACCACTTTAAAGCATACAATCCAATGGTTTTTAGTATATTCACAAGTATGTGCAACCATCACCACAGTCAATTTTAGAACATTTTCATTATCCTAAAAAGAAGCCACGTACACTTCAGCTATTATGCCCCCTGTTCTGGTTCCCTAGTACCTCTCTGACAAGAATATACCACAAATGGGATGCTTGAACAAATAGGAGTTTATTCTCTTACAGTTCGGGAGGCTAAAAGTTCGAGTTCAAAGTGCCAGGCTCTAGGGGCTGTGTGAAAGCCCCTCAACCTTGGGCTTCAGCTCTGCCTCTTGCTCCTGGCCCACTGAAGCTAGAGGCATCTCTTCACTCAGGAAGCTGCTGGCTGCTGAGGCTAACAATCCCAATGTCGACAAATAAAACAGCACAATCCCGATGTTACCAAACCACACAGCAGGCCATTCATTCAAGTCCGTTGAAAGTCTAAGGTTGGGAGAGCATGGCAAGCTGCTGAACAAAGACATGGCTACCTGCAGGGTTCAAGCGTGCCATAAGCTAGAGACCATTCCCCAAGGTTTCTCCTTATACACAGGAAGCAGACCACATCCCTAGGTCAGCTACTCAGCTGCTCACAGTAGAGTCCACCATGGAGTTGATTACTGGTCTCATCATGGGGAATACTACGTCCAGCTGCCCAGCCACTCAACCAGGCCCAGCCAAGTTGACACACAAATGCAACTACCACACCCCCTAAACTCCCATCACCCCAGCCTTAGGCAACCACTAATCTTTCTGTCTTCATAGAGTTCCCTATTCTGGATATTTCATATAAATAGAATCATGTAACACATGGTCTTTTGCAATTGGCTTCTTTCACCTAGCATAATGTTTTCAAGCTTCATCCATACTGTAGCATGTATCAGTACTTCATTCCTTTTTATGGCCAAATAATTGATATATCACAGTTTGTTTATCCATTCATCAATTGATGAACATTTGTTGTTTTTTTTTTTCCAACTTTTTGGCTATTATGAATAATGCTGCTATGAATATTTGTGTGCAAGTTTTTCTGTGGACATATGTTTTCATTCATATTGGGAATATACCTGGGAGTGGAATTGCTGGTAGCGTAGTACCTAAGGCACTTGACTGCTAACCAGAAGGCTAGCAGTTCAAGCCCACCAGCCACTCCTTGGAAGGAAGGTTGGGCAATTTACTTCCATAGTGATATAGCCTGGAAAACCCAAGGAGGGGTCACTGTAAGTCGGCTCAGACTCGATGGCACATAACAACAACAACACAACATAGTAACCTCAGGGAGCCCTGCTGGTGCAATGGTTAAGCATTCTGTTGGTAACCAAAAGCTTGGCAGTTCAAACCCACCAGCTGCTCTGCAGGAGAAAAGACATAATAATCTGTTCCTGTAAAAATTACAGCCTAAGACACCCTATGGGGCAGTTCTACTCTGTCATATAGGGTCACTATGAGTCAGAATCACCTCCATGGCACACAACAACAACAACATAGTAACCCTATGTGTAATTGTTTGTGGAACTGTCAGACTGTTTTCCAGTGCGGCTGCACCATTTCACATTCCCACCAGCAGTGTTATAAAGGTTCCATTTTTTCTACATCCTTGTCAGCCCTTGTTATTTTCTGACTTCTTTATTCTAATACTCTTAGTGGGTATGAAGTGGTATCTCACTGTGGTTTTGATTTGCATTCCCCTGACACTCCTAATGTTTTTGATCACTAGCCTCAGTCAAAGGCAACAACAGTGGGAATAAATCCAAGTTATATTTACTGGAAATGTCCTCCAATGATCACCTACCTGCCTCTGACTCTAGGCTCTCTATACCTCCCACAGTTCAGTGGCCTGCAGTGTAACAAAAGATTCAGGGACTTGGGACAAGACTGGATAAATCTTTAAGGAAACATTTCAGCTTACACTGTACCTGCCCTAAGGCATCTTCTAGTCCTTACTGACACCCAGGGAATTTTGAAGAAGAAAGCTTTATCAATCTATGGTGATATCTGTTGGCCAACTTCAATTAAAGACACATTTGGACCCTAGTATTGCCTAGTGGGTTAGAACCAGTCTTCCCTGTTGTCAAGGCCTTTTGACATCACCTTGCCCTGTTCCTTTGACTCTCAAGGCCTACCTTCTCTCACACCTGTCTATATGCATCTTGTTCCTTTTCTCTTTTGTCTCATACTTCCTTCCTTTTCCCTCTCCCTAATATAGACACTAACTTGCAGGGAAAGTCACTTACCTTTCTTGTGCCTCAGTTTCCTCCTCTAACAAACGGATATAATAGTAAACTACCTTTCAGGGTTAGCATGAAGATGATGTGAAATAATGGGTATGAATATGCCCTATGGAGGACCTGGCACAGAGTAGGCACTCAACAAAGCAATTTCTGTTTCCACTCTCCTCCCCAGAGTTGATGGCCTTCCATATTTAAAATGGTGCTGAGCCCTGTCTAAGTGACCTTTTCCCAACTCCCCACTGCCTGGGCTTGCTCCTTTTCTAGGACCTCAGTGCGGAATAGCAACCAGAGGCAGCAAATGGACAATCATCACACATGTCTGTCTTCATTTAGGGCATTTAGTGGGTGAATGCTTTTTGCCTAAGCAGGAGGTCAGGAAGACTACAACCAGTACATCAACATCAAGCTTCCCCTTCAGCAGGATAGTAACAACTTCTTCCATTACCCAAACATGGAAAATAAGCCTTGCTTGGTGTGAGCTAGGAGCCCTAGTGGCACAGTGGTTAGGTGCTCAGCTGCTAACTGAAAAGTCAGTGCTTTGAACCCAGCAACTACTCCATGGGAGAAAGATGTGGCAGTCTGCTTCCATAAAGATTATTGCCTTGGAAACCCTATGGGGGAGTTCTACTCTGTCCTAGAGGGTCGCCATGAGTCAGCATTGACTAGACAGCTTTGAGTTTGGTTTTTTGGGGTGTGAGCTTGAGAAACCTCATTTCTCTTCAGCCTGCGTCCAGGCTAAGCCAATGGGAAAATGCACTTTCACAAGCCAGGAAGTTCATGTAGAAGGAGCTGATGGAAAGTCCTAGCTCCTTGGAGGAGTGGCAGGTTGAGGGGCAAGAGGCACTTGAGTACCAAGACCAAGAGATGCTAAATCACATGTGTGGGGAAGAGCACCCACCAGTGTTATTGGAGGGGTCACTGTGAGTCGGGTCCAACTCGATGGCAAATAACAACAACAACAACAGTGTTATTGGAAACAGTGAAAGGAGTGGGAGCAGGCAGGATGGGGACAAAGGACAAAGTCCCTCTGTCAGAATCCTTCTGCCAAACCCCATAAATTTAGCTTGCATAAACTACTTGCATTGTCTTACCTGCCTTTGGCAGTAGCCTCCTCCCATTCAAGGGATGCTCAGTATCAGCCCTGGAAGTGAACAGCATCCCCTGCCCCTAAGCTTGCAGGCTGCCCTAGCTTTCATCTGTTTGTTCACCCCCAACCCATATACCTGAGTGCTCCCTCACCAGGAAGGTGGCCAGGTCAGCAAAGCAAATCAACTCTCCCTGAGCCCCATGTTAGTTTTCTGGGCTTTAGCTGTATTTTTGAAGTTCACTGTCTTTATCTAATCTGTGTAGTTGAGTGAAAATGCCCCCTAGCTCAATTGAGTTAAAATCTACAACAGTCTTCACAGTTGTCCACCGTCATGGGGCTTGCTTCCTGAGCTCTTCCCCCTGGAAAAGCTGTAGAAATGACAGTGGGGAGCACATGTCAGCCAGCCTCAGTCCTGTTCCCAGGTGATAATGAGACCTTGTTGTCAGATCTGGGTTCCTTTGACTACCTGCGTTTGGGAATGTGATGTCACAATAATCAGGAATTTTGAATCTTGTTCCCTGGGGACTCTTTGCAAGGAGACAAAGACCAGAAGTAAAAAAAAAAACAGAGAAGAAATCTCATGAAACCATTTCCCAATCAGTTTCCTATTTCACATTAACCAAATGTCCCGATAGAAAGCAGTTTATTTCAAACAAACTGAAATAAATAAAATAAAAGATGCATTTTTTATTTTAAATAAATAAATAAAATAAAAGATGCATTTTTTTATTTTAAATAAATAAAAGATGCATTTTCATTTGTTCCTCAGGTTCGCAGGCTCCCAAAATGAGAAACTTTCAGAAATGAACCCAATCTTCTGCTTATTCTGGGTGTGTGTGTGTGTGTGCACGTGCACGTGTGTGTGTATATCTTCAACTCTTGTGTTACCAAGCAGATCACTTGCTGCTTTATTTTACAAAGCCCAAAGCCCTTTCATTTGGTGTTTCTCTTTCTAGGACCTGAAACCACTCTATGCTAACCGGTGCCACTATGTCCCCAAGACATCCCAGAAGGAAGCTGAAGAGGTGAGCCCGAAAGAGGCTGCATGTCTTGCCTCCTGAGAGAGTCTCTATTCTGCGTGAAACCCCCTTTCTTTTGCTCCTTTTCACGGGCCTGAGGCTAGCTGCTAAGAGTCTGTAGCTGATTTGTTCGTGGGTCAGAGCACAGTGCTAATTAATGAGGTCACAGTCAGAGGTTGGAGCCTCATGAGGCCTGGTCAGATTTACTCTGTTCTATGGCCACAAGCTGCCCCTCTGACCCCAGCCAGCAGCCTCCCAGTGTGTGGCTTTGATCCCAAGAGGGACAGATGAAAGTACAGAGGCCACTGGACATGCCCATCCTCCATCTCTGTGGATGATGGTTCAGTTGTCTGGACTTGGTGTCTGGCTGAAAGAAAAGTGGAAGCCCCATCAAGGCACTGGGCCTGCATACGGAGGCAGGGCTTTTAGTCCCACATATGCGAGGGGCCTAGAGGATGAACAGGGAGAATGGAGAAGCTTAGCCCATTTTGAGGCACTGGGGAGAACTGGACTATCAGGCTGAAGGCATCCTGGCTCCTCTAGCGAGCCCCCAGTCATGCTTGAGTCTCACATAGTTCTTGTGTTCATGCCACCTTAGCCAGAACTAGAGGCCTTGCGCAGTGAGGCGGAGCATGGCTCTGCGCCATTTTTGGAGGGCTTTTATTCCAGTACATAATAATCCCTCCCCAGCTGAGAGGTCCTTTTATATGAAACCCTACCAGATGCTTCCAGGAACCTTAACAATCTAGCAACTCAATTAGCCTCACGTTGAAAGCTAATCTTCCTGAGACTAGTCAGAAAAAATGCTAGACTGGGAGGAAAAAAGGGAAGCAAGTGGGTATAAAATGGCCACTGGATTGCACAACTTCAGGGGGAGCTATTTTGCATAAAATACAATGTGAATAGTGTCCTTGGAGTTAGACAAAGTGATGACCTCGCTCCTTAGGCACCATGGCAAATGCCTCTGTGATGATTCTGCCAGCCACTTGCCTCCTTTTTCTCTTCACAACCAAAAATTTACCATTTCAAGCTATTCTCAAGTTAGAAGGGAAGAATGGTCATCAGCTTATCAGAAGGGCAATGAGCATTTGGAAGAATGTCCCAATATAGGGGAAAAAAAATACTCATTCACCATGAATATCTTCTATACATGTTCTGGTTACCGAGTGCTGCTCTGACAAGAATATACATCAAATGGGATGGCTTGAAGAAATGGGAGTTTTTTCTTACAGTTTGGAGCCTTTAAGTCTGAGTTCAAAGTGCCATGCTCTAGGTGCTAAGTGAAAGCCCCACAACCTTGGGCTTCAGCTCTGCTTCCTGCTCCCAGCCCACTGAAGCTGGAGGCTTTTCTTCACTCAGCTGCTGGCTGCTGAGGTGACAAGGCAAAGGTTGACGAGTAACAAGGCACAATGTTGATGTTACCAAACCAGATGGCAGGCCATTAATTCAAGTCCATTCGAAGTCCCAAGGTCGGCAGAGCATGGCAGGCTGCTGAACAATGACCCGGCTACATGCAGAGTTCAAGCGTGCCATAAGCTGGAGACCATTCCCAAAGGTGCTTCTTATATATAGGAAGCAGAACCCCCTACCCAAAGCAGCTAATCAGCTGCTCACAGTAGATTCCACCATGGAGTTGATTGCCAGTCTCATCATGGGGAATACTACATCCAGCTGCCCAGCCACTCAACTAGGCCCAGCCAAGTTGACACACAAACTTAACCACCACAATAAGAAAGCAAAACAAGCACTTCATTGCATCCATCGTGGGGAGAGAGAGCCTGGAAAATGTATCGCAAACAAGAGACGGTAAATGGAAATTAGTTTTTGCAATTTTTAAAAGTTTTTGCAGATTCAAGATGTATAAAATGTCACTGCTAATCTCTTGATTTTGTCGTGATAGCTTTCTTGTGTTAATTTGGTGACTGTAAGAATATGAATAATGACTTCCATAGGTTCACTTGTAACCCTGGTCCCCCTAACCCTATTTTTCCTATATAAGGTCATAAGTTCCTCAACCAAAAATTCTCCTTCCGCGAGGGTTATGAGGAACCTTACCCAGACAGCTAGAGAGGTACCATTGTACTTCAGAGTGCATGTGATGGCCCCTCTGTTTTCCTTCCCACCTGATCCTCTTTCCTCCTGTACCCTGATTTTCCCTTCCCTCTTATCCTCATTTCTTACCATCTCTTTGTTCTTCCATTTGTCCTTCCATCTGTCCTTCCTCCTCTCTAGCTCCACCTTTCAGGGATGGGGTACTGAGAGCTGTGGCTGAGGCTGACCACAAGCCCAGCTATGCAATGACTTGCCTCAGACTCAAGCTCCACTAGCCACCCCACCCCCAGCCTCGTTTCTCTCGTGGGTTGGTGTGCTCATTTCAAAGCCATCCTTACTGTCTCCATCAGTCACTAACTTGAACTTCCAATCCCAGAGGGTCCTGCCTCCCATCCAGTGCCAGCTCATCTCCTAATTGTTATGTGCCCTCAGGTGAACTGCCCTCACCTCAGTCGTGGATTCTGCACTCCTCGCATCCGGGGTAACACCTGCTTCTGCTGTGACCTCTATAACTGTGGCAAGTAAGTGTTGAGCCCCAAGCACAGGAATAATGGCTTGACCACAATGGCCAGGTGGCAGACCAGCAGGGATCAGAGAAGTCGAGGACACACCTCAGCTAACAAACCTTATCTCCTTCTGTGTGCCAGGCACCATGCTAGGTTCTTTCACATATTTGATCTCATTTAATCCTTACCTATGTTGTTGTTGTTGTTGTTATGTGCCGTCGAGTCAGACCCGACACATAGCAACCCCTCCTTGGGTTTCTGAGGCAGTATCACTACGGAAGTAGATTGCCCCATCTTCGTTCTGAGGAGTGGCTGGTGGGTTTGAACTGCCACCCTTCTGGTTAGCAGTCAAGTGCCTTAGGCACTAAGCTACCAGAGCTCCTCTTACGTATGCGGTATGTAGAATTATTGTCCCCATTTTACAGATAAAGAGAGAGGCTCAGAGGAAACAGACAACTAGCCCAAGGTCACACAGAGGTTGAAAATGGTAGAGGTAGGATTGAACCCTGCTCTCTCTGAGTTCAAGTTCAGTAACGTTCAACAGATAGTTTTTGTGTACCTTCTCTGTGCCTGGTCCTGTTCTAGACACTGGAGAGGCAGCAATGAAAAAAGCAAAGTGCTTTACTAGTAGGGGAGATGGTCAATAAACACACAAACATAATATAACATCAGATGGTGATCAGAGCTCTTAAGAAAAATGAAGCAGAAGAGATAACTAGATAGTGACAAGGTGTGTATGTAAGGGAGAAGAGGTGCTGTTAGTCAGGGAAGGCCTCTGTGAGGAGGTGATATTTGTACAAAATTCCAAACAAAGCGAGAGGGCAACCCAAGTCCATACCTAGGGAAAGAGCATTTCAAGCAGAGGGAACAGCAAATGTAAAGGCCTCAAGGCTGAAGCAAGCTTGATGCTAGTTCTGTTACAACCACGCTAGGTCCCTGCCCTCCAACTGCTAAAATGTCACTTACTCTTCCTTTCAAACAATAGTTAGATGCTAGGAATATACAGATTGCCACTGAGGAGCTTACAGCCTAGTAGAGACGTCAGACGTGTGAACAACTGATTGCAATGTAGTGGGGGTTGGTGGATGTATCGGGGACTTTGGTGGCCCAAATGACTGAAAGTAAGCTTTTCCAGTAGGCAGTATCAATGAGGATGTGATGTGGGAGCTGAGATACAAACCAAAAGGAGAGGACATGGGGAGGGTCTGCTGGGCAGTTGTCAGGAGGTGAGGGGTAGGAGTAGTTATAGATGACGTGGTGGAAGGTGAGGGCAGAGCTGTAGTCAGAGGGCAGATCATGGAGGGTCCACAGGCTGTAGGAAGGACTTTGGACTTGACCCTGGAGGCAATTAGGAGCCATCAAAGGATGTATTGTGGAAGATTGCTTTGAATGCCTGGTGACTGGAGGCAGCTGGAAGGCCACTTCAGGAGGCCAGGCCAAAGAAGATGGAACCTAAATTAAGTTACTTTGGAAGCAATGGAAAGCAGGGAATAAATTTGAGAGCAATTTATTAGGTGGGCTCAACAAGAGTGTGTCACAGGTGATACGAAGCATGTGTGAACACCCTTCCATGACTGGTGTGTCAGCCTATGCCTGTCCAAGCATGTAGCTTCTTACAGTGGGGGTTGGGAGATGTATCAGGGACTTTGGTGGCCCAAATGACTGAAAGTGCAGGGATGCTGAGGGCCAGGAGAGGGAGGGAGGAGAGAAGGGACTGGCAGAGGGGGGTGGATGGAAATAGACCCAGAGGAGGTCCGATGGACAGAACCTCCTCCTCACTCACGTTCCCTACTCTTGGTATTTGCGAATCAGTTTCTCTGGTTTGAGGATTAAAACCTGCTGGCAACAGGGAGGAAAGAGGGGAGAACTCACACCAGCCCTTTACCTACTTTGCTAGCCCCAGTCTTATCTCCTTTGAAAGATTTGGCCTTGGAGGAGGAGAAACTTAAAGACTCAACTGAGGTTTGGAGATTATCTGTAGGGTTCAATTATTCATGCTGCAATAATAACTAACACTTGGAAAGGGCTTCCCTTCTTAGCAGCAGTGATTGAAAGCTGGCTATAATTGTACTTCCTGAATCTGTCCTTCCAAAACTGATCAAAGGAATGTAAAATAGTCCAAGGGGAATTGGGGTTATTTTGCTATCTTCCCTCTTGGCTCCCTTTATCCCTGCCTTCCTTGCCCTATCCTTCCCTCTCTTCTTAGCTCCTCCTTTATCCCTCCTCCTTGCCATCCTCTTCCCATCTTCTCACTGCCCTCCTCCCTCCCCTCTGGCCTGCTTCCCTCTCCTTTCCCATCACCTCCTGTGGCGGTGCTGGAAGCTGGCCAGAATTGGAGCTGAGATCCAGAAAAGGAGCAAGGAGGCCCCTGAAAGGGCTGAGAAGTGATTCCTCGCAGACACACCTTTCTCTCTGCCATAGGTGTGTCCCTGAAAGAGGTTTAAATCAACTAAATCCTGCTTTCAATTCCGTGTAGCTGAGCCCTTAGGTGATTTTTTTTTTTTT